CGCTACATACAAGCAATGGCCTCCGTCCATTGATTTCTGAAAACGGCGCCGACACCATTGGCGAAATAGCAAATCCAATATTAAAGAATGTGATTCCAAGATTGTATACCACGCTACTTATCCCCCATGCTTCCGTGAGTATCTTTTCAGGGGGGCTATAGGCACCCGCCGCCACTGAGGCCAGAATCGTAACAAGGCACGATAGCGCCGTTATAACCCTTTTGCGTGACCTCCGCCATGTATAGGGAGAAGAAATATATGGTCGTAGATCGGGCGGGTCGGGAGGTGGCTGCTGATTTGGTCGGGGAATTGAGATGCCAGTAGGAGAGGGCAATAAGGTGTCAAAGGTCAGATAGTGATATTGTATTTCGTCTTCCAGTTGTTCTTCTGGCCTTGGCTGTTCCGCATTGATGGTATCTTCAGCACACTTTCCTGATTGTGATGTTACTGCTGTACGTCGGGGCTGCTGGAGATGTACGCTCGGTTCTCTTAATTCCTTCTCGGCCTCGGAATTTGGTATCGCTATCTCATCTTGCGCGCGAGCCTGCGCTTTAGGTGAGTTCGCAATCCTATCCGGCATTTCAAAGTACTTTTTTGCAATCACTTTCTATCACGATGATGTCGTGAAAGTGCAAATCGAAGAAAAAAACTTATTCGCAGAGAAGGAGGGATACCTGGACAGACTCGAGTAACCGGTCCCACGCAAGTCGTTAACAAGCATCATGAATTCAGGATGTCATCCAACCTCCACTCTTCGTCGAGTGCCGCCGCTAGCATTTATTATGGATTTCGGTGTTGTAGTAATCTAGTTAGCGTTAGTCTCTCAGATGGTAGGTATTTGCGGAGCTCGAGATGGAATACCGGCTTGTAAGCGTTTATCTACAAGATCCCGGGCTATTATAAATCACAGTTGTTCAAAGTTCACCCTCCCGGAAATGTTGCCGGAACTTTAACCCGTACCATCGACCTAGGCTCAGGCCGGGGTTGAAAGTTAAGTTACCCAGGAAATCCGCTCACCCACCCCATCCTTTGACTTGCCCTCCCCAGAGGGTTGGAGTGGGCTCGATTCACCAGGCCTTAGAAATGAAGGTGCCCGATGCAACCCGAGAGGTCTCCACCAGAAAACACTGAAATCTGCTTGATAGTTGATGAGCTGCTTCAAAGGTTCAGACCTTGAATTTATTAGTTATTACCGTTAACTAGTTTGCCCTGTTGATGAGATGGTCCGACAGCAGAACTGTGGAGATGATGGAATGGATAGCTACAGTATTCCCTCTTCATCAACCACATCGACACACTATCAACCATAGATGTGAGACGACACACCTATGTACCATCGTTAGAAAATTGACATGTCGCTGCTATTGCCGATATCTCGCACTTCAGGAATCGGCATTTTTGAGATACAAGCAACACTTGTCAGGGCTTCTAAATGCCATCCGTATATCTTGGGTCTTGTGTCCCCAATTCGAAGTTTTGGATAAGTTTCGGCGTTAAGAAATGTCTGTATTTAGATAGTGAAGAGGCACGTGATAACTAAATAACAAGCTCCTTACTGAGGCGATGACATACATCTCCGGCAGAGGCTTTGGCCCAAAAAATCATCAGCATATATATGCGTATTTTAATGTTTTATTTGTTGAAGGAATATGATATGCATATATCACTAGTTTTATATAGAATTCCCTCAGTTCCAAACAGTTGCTATCTATTGTTGAATGCCTCCATTGGAGAAACCTATTCATATTCTGCAGATCTCAAGATCAAGTCCCCTCGTTGGCATCGTACGAGCCCTGAAAATCCATGATGCCTCCCAAAAGACGTCAATCAACCGCCGCTTCTACCGCCGCTTTAAATGGTGTTGGTCAAAGAGATAACAAAAAGCCACGATTGAGCTGCATCAATTCTATTTCACCTGTAGCAGAAACTGCAGCCTCATCCCGGCCCCAAAGGACCAGCTGTGTGTCTATTACTGACGAGGAATCACTACCATCAACGTCCCTGAAAAGTAAAAAAAGCAGTGCTGGTGGTGCCAATGCTAGAAATACTAAAGATGAAAAAGGTTCGAGCATCCCTTCTCGTCTCATTTCATCTCTAACTTCGTTTTACTTTTCTTCTTTCTGGGCCAGGGGACGCCAGGTCTTTCAAGACGGCCATATGTCCTCGTATGCATCCCATCCTCAATTTCCATTTGTCTGAGATTCAATGATTGAAAAGGATATCCGAACGATCTATCTTGTAGTAGAGTGGATTACACTCTCTCCTTGTCTATCTCGTTATATGTCTGTTCGAGCCATATTTTATTATGTGCTAACCCACCAATTTACTCTACCGTCAGCAACATTAGCTGCTGCTGCTGGCTCATCCGCTCTAGCCTCAGAATCAAGCTCCAGGAATAAGAGATTAGCTGCAAAGGAGAGAAGAAGGGGATCCGAAACAGTCTCTGCTGTTGCTGTACATGGGATGACGACAGAACCAAAAGCCAACAAATCACCAGATAGTGACCAGAATGACGATAAAGGAGAAGACGATGGCATATCCTACTGGCTTATGAAGGCAGAGCCCGAATCAAGGTTTGAAAAGGGTGTTGATGTTAAGTTCTCAATCGATGATTTGAGAGAGGCGAAGGAGCCGGAGCCGTGGGATGGTGAGAGCCCTCTGTAATACGTTCCTGCTAACTCCAATATTTCTACGGGTCTATGGATGCTTACCAAGTCTTACTCTAATATGAATTTTCAAAAAGGCGTTCGAAATCCTACCGGTAGGTTCAACAGTTCAATATTATCATTCACGTTGCGTTGAGACTAAACAAACCATTCCGCAGCACGAAATAATATGCGTGCCATGAAGAAGGGAGATTTGGCTTTCTTCTATCATTCAAATTGCAAAGTGCCCGGAATTGCTGGAATAATGGAAATTGTCCGAGAACATTCTGTTGACGGTGCGTATATCTCGAATGGGCAATATGAAAGAAGAATAAAATCATGTAAGAAAAATGTAATTGAAAACTCCTTCTCTAACAATTTTCTTGCTTGGGATCGAAAAAGAATCCGCATTCGATCCAGCACACCCGTATTATGACGAGAAATCCAGCCGCGAGAATCCCAAATGGGAGGTTGTACATGTGGAGTTCAGGCGCAAGTTCAAGGATTTGATCACCTTGGCTGAACTCAAGTCATACGCGAAACCAGGTGGGCCGCTCGAGAATATGCAGATGACAAAACAGTCTCGATTGAGCGTGTCTGTCGTGAGTAGGAATGAGTGGAAATTCATCATGAGCTTGGTGGGAGAGGAGTAAGAAGTGAGTGAATGAGTTGCAATCAAGAGAGACTCTCGACTCGGATTGGACAAAATTTTTTCGTGTCTTATTATATCTCCTAGCTTCCGCTGTATATCCAATATATTAAGATGATTTACTTTGGGGGTATCCGGGTGTATTTCTTTCCTGATGCTTGCCCGAATTCCCAGCCCACTCGTGGAGGTTTGGCTATGATCCAATCCGTAGCTTTTCACCAGCCATATTATCCTGTTGCCCAACAAGTCTTCATCTCGTGGTGTTAAAGAGTCCGACCGATTCACAAAATCATTTCACTTCCAACTTCCTCTAGCTTGGATGCGTTCACTTATATAAGGCTGCTACGTCTCCGTGAGACAGGAGAGGTGCTGCTGGTATTTGATTATATATTTCAGATTTATACATGACATTCCACAGTGGCAACTCTTTCATGTCTCAGGGCGCAGAGCCCAAAATTTGACCGGCAATAATTTTAATCTCTGTGGAAATCCCATTTGCTCCTCTGACCGCAATACTTTTAATCCTGCCTGCTGGAACAATTTCCTAAATTTTTCATCGGTTCTGGTGACCGTCCTATCCACGTCATCATAGTGATCTCGCGTGTTATCCGAGCAAATATTTTCCTTAACTACCACCAATCCCGTTTCTGACAGTGCACCCTTGCACCGGACAAGACAATCCACCAGCTGAGCATCTGTGAGATGGTTCATACACCACTGGTGCCAGATCAAGTCGTAAGACTTCGTTGGTGTCCAATTTTCCAGGCCAGTGATATATATGTCGCCGATCTTCCCCTCCTTGTATAGCTTCCCTTGTTTGATTACGTCGACAAATTTCTCAACAGGCTCGACAATATCCACAATATCGCATACTTTGTTTAGGAAGCCCTCAGTGACACGACCAATGCCAGCACCGCAGTCAACTCCTAGCTTAATATTCCCAGAGCCGGTTGAAGGTATTAACCGACGAACCTTGGCTAGGAAGGCGGAGGAGCCGCGCAGGTCAATTGCAGAAACTTGGGGGTAGCCGCCAAGCATTCCACTGCGTGTTGGGGCGACTGAATTCCAGTACTCGATAGAGGCGGCATGATCAATGCGAGAGTCAGGTTGCTCGTCCAATTCCAATTCGGGGTCTGCTGGCATATCTGCCATGGCAGAGGAAATGCTCGGCAGACAGACTGCCGCTACGTGTCAGGGCGGAGGATATGGGAAACTGAAGAGGTGGGAGCAGAGCAGTGGAGCCGGACCGCAAGAAGCATAAAGCAAATGTTTGATATTTTTGATAACGTGACGATTGTTTACAAGCACAGTTGCAGCGGAGCTCTGTTGGGGCCAAGACCGACGAGGCGCTTGCCCTTAATTGGTTGAGTTGCTTCGCTCGCGGGGTCACCATTTAACCACACTCCTCCACACACGTCATCGACTCTGCATGTCCCCGAGAACAGGCAAGGGAGAAAAAAAAAAAAATACGCATTCCAAGGTCGGAGAGCATAGACGTCGACCCGTCATCAATGAATTATTAATGTAAGGTTTTACTGGGGGAATATCGCCTTTGCCCCAATTTCCCATTCTGGCCCTCGGCATTATTTAAGAACAACCCCATGCGCTTCCTCATTCTGCCGGCTGGAAGACTTTCCCGAAAACTGTACTTTTCAGCGTCAAATTCAATTATATCTGGCAGATATCTCTCCAGCACAGGTTCCAAAATGTCCGTTCTCTCAGAGAAACTTACTGCGCCGAATGGCCTCGAATATATGCAACCTCTAGGATTGTTCATAGACAACGAATTCGTGGAAGCCAAGTCCGGAAAGAAGATCACCTCGATCAATCCCACGTTAGTTTACCAAAATTCAGGCGGTTGCGCAGTTTGTTTTTTTTTTTTTTTTTTTTTTTTTTTTTGGAATAATCCCTGACGCTTGGATGCCATAGAGATGAATCTAAGATCGCGGACGTTGAGGCAGCTGGCGAACAAGACGTGGATGCTGCTGTAAAAGCTGCTCGCAAGGCATTGAAGGATCCCACATGGAAAGACCTCTCCCCAACAGATAGGGGAAGACTGCTTGTCAAACTGTCAGACCTTGTCCTTAAACACATAGAGACCCTAGCTACAATCGAAGCTTGGGACAACGGTACGGATCACCCTAAGAACGACTGTTTGGCCTTTTAACTTTTTTAATATTGTGCTCAGCAATATCCTTGATGTATGTGCATAGGCAAGCCATATTCCGTTGCGCACGATGAAGACTGCGTAGAAGTTGCAGAGACGCTCAGATACTACGCCGGATTTGCCGACAAGGTATTTGGCAGCACCATAAGTACTTCGTCCCGAAAGTTTGCCTACACTCTACGCCAGCCCATTGGCGTGGTTGGTCAGATCATACCCTGGAACTATCCTCTGGCAATGGCAGCATGGAAATTGGGCCCTGCGTTAGCTTGCGGAAATACAGTCGTCCTCAAACCTGCGGAGCAGACTCCACTCAGCATTCTATATCTTGCGAACCTCATCAGGGAAGCTGGCTTCCCTCCTGGCGTAGTGAACATTCTCAATGGCTTTGGAAAAGATGCAGGAGCGGCAATCGCCAGCCACCCTGACATTGATAAAATTGCCTTTACCGGTTCCACAACCACTGGCCGTGAAATCATGAAAATGGCTGCCGCAAACCTCAAAAATATCACCCTAGAAACTGGCGGCAAATCCCCGCTCCTAGTCTTCGAGGATGCAGATCTGGATCAAGCAGCTAAATGGGCACATATTGGTGTTATGTCCAACATGGGCCAGATTTGTACGGCCACTTCACGCATCCTTGTTCAGGACACCGTCCACGACAAATTCGTCGAATTGTTGAAGAAGGTCGTCGCCTCCACGAGCAAAATCGGCGATCCCTTTTCCGATGACACCTTCCAAGGCCCGCAAATCACGAAGTCCCAATATGAGCGGGTACTCGGGTACATCGAAAGTGCTAAGGCTGAAGGTGCGACTCTAGTCGCTGGGGGTGTACCCTACAAGAATGTTGGAGATGGAAAAGGCTTCTTTATCGAGCCCACCATCTTCACTGGCATTAAGGATAACATGACGGTCTACCGTGATGAAGTCTTCGGCCCGTTTGTTGTTATCGCGAGTTTTAAGACTCAAGAGGATGCTATCAGAATGGCAAATGATTCCACGTATGGTCTTGGTGCAGCAGTTTTCACTAGGGATATTCAACGCGCGCATTATGTGGCGAGCGAGATTGAAGCTGGCATGGTTTGGATTAACAGCAGCAACGACAGCGATTTCCGTGTGCCATTTGGTGGAGTGAAGCAAAGCGGTATTGGACGTGAGTTGGGTGAAGCGGGATTGGATGCATACACGCAGACAAAAGCTGTTCATGTTAACATGGGAACCGTGCTGTGAGGAGAACTTTTTATTTTTATTTTTTAAGACATTACATTTGATCAAGGAGAACCAGGACCTTTGAATGGAGTGACTTGAGATGGATATTTTCCGGGTTATGACAATCCAATGGAGTAATCTCCTCCATTAAAACCGATCAATGAATGATGACAATTCATATAACTATATCATATAAGAATGAAATATTACTATCTTGATGCCAATGAAGGCTAAAACTACTTCAGCTCTTGCACACCTCACTGGCTACCCATGTCATTTACAGAGAATAATCTGAGGATGGAATTAAATGTAGATCATCCTATTATTGCGATACTTTTCTTCCTCTTTCCCATATCTCCTCCTCTGGACGCCCCGGGATGCCAAGGTTGCATTTCCCTTAATAGCCTTTCTTTCTGTTGAGGGAACATTAAATTGGTTCCTGAGTTATGGAAGCTCTTCAGTGCACAGGTGTATTAGTACCCACCGCTATTCATGTGTCAGGCCTATCCGCCTTCTTATGTAATCCGCACTGTATATAACTTCCGCGTAGCTAGTGATTGCTACATAATCAATCAAGCAATCTATCCTTCACAGGTTATGAGACCCGTTTTGCGCAAATAACTGCCAATTCAGGGAATTCTTGCCAAATATAGTGTATATTAATCACTGCTCACTTCATTCAATATAATATTGTCTTATTTTATGTCAATTGATTGATTTGACATGCTCTTATATTATTATTAATTTTCCTGTGTTCAATCTGTTCACTTAGTGAGTGAAAGAAAAATCTGCAACTTGCTAATTTTTCAGCAACTGATCACACAAGAACATGTCAATCTGCTCAATCAAGCTTATAGACAAGAATCTCACTGAATAAGATTACTCCATTATAAAGAAGATTAATATGACATGGCAGAACATATGATGACTCACTCACAGTTGTGATCAAGTCAATTCAGTCAATCTGACTGATCTGAAAATGACCAGGGGGCTCTGAGCTCATCAACCCCCTCAGGAGTGTTCAAAAGTTCCAGGATTGGACCTTCTGAAACACCTGGTCAGCAAGTCAGACTGATTACAGCCCCTACCATAGTAAGGCTGATCCACCTATGTCATGTTGAATATGCTGATTCAACTTCTTCAGAAGACAGGGTGGAGATGCCTGCAGTGATCTCTAACTCACTGCCAGCAATCAACTCTGAAGAATTGCAACTGAGGAGATTGGATCTTGAACATCAAAAGATTGATTTAGAACTTCAAAAAGAGAGGTGCAAAGAATTGCAGCTTCAACTTCAATTGAAGAGACTCCATGCTCAGAATGACAGGATCACAATGCCTGCAAATCCATCAACAGGTCAACCATCAGCATGAGATCTGAACTTGAGGTTCTGAATGCAATATAATCTCTATGACCTGAATAGCTGCATTAGCAAGGTGATCAGCCAGTTCAAACAGGATACTAAATATGCCACCAAGCTGAACACTCTGGTCAGATCTTTGAATTATCTCTCCTGGTATGCAAATATGAAGGCCAAGCTAATTGACACTCAATGCTGAGTTATATTGGAGGATAAGCAAGTTAAAAGCCCTGATGAAGACCCTGAATGAGCTCCTTTTTGAGAGGCTAAAAATCACTGACTTTATACATTCATTTTGAACACATTGGCAGTCAGCATTAGGCTCTGTTTTAATAAGTATGATGAAGGCAGAATCACTTATTCCCTTTGACACACAGTTGAGAAGGAGTTCTTCATTTCAAGAATGCAGCTCTGCAGGGAAGTAGTCCTGGCATTTACATCAATGAGTGATGTCCAAGTCACTAATGTATATGCATTTTTCAATAAGTTCAATGATGTTATTATGAAATTGAAAATACTTGATATTTTACTGTCAAATGATGTGGTATTCCATGTGTTCTATTCTGCACTTCTCAATATATAATGAAACTACATGCAAAAGAAAATTGAGGAGGTACAAGAGTTCAAATCAAAGTCTGTCATGTTGAACATTCATTTGATCATGAAGGAAATACACTCTTGATTGAATCCTCTCAAAGAGGCCAAGAAGGCTGCCCAGGCAGTTAATTCTTCAGCCAATATGGCTCAGGCTGAAAACACAGCTGCAGGTTTCAATAATAGCAGCAATGTCTAAAATAATTTGGCCTGTGGGGGCCAACCCAGGGGACACAGAGACTATCAAATGAGCAAACATTCAAATTCTGACCTCCCAATCTGCCTGGAATGTGAGCATCATCATGGTGGGCTCTGCTGGGCAGTCAATTCAGATAGTGCTTCTGAAGAATGAAGGACCATCAACACAGCAAGAATAGAGAAATATAATAATAAGAAGAGTAGTGAGGGCAAAAAGACCTCATCAACTGCAAATGACAGCTCTGAGACATTCCAAATGGCAAATCTAGTGCAGGTTATTAGGGTGCCTGTGTACTCTGCTGAATCAATCATCAACCCACTCACCATATGAGATAGTGAGGCTGGATGTCATATTGCAGGTGATTGATTGTGATTTTCTCAAATAACAGAGATTAGTGGCCCTACAATTCAAGTGGTCAATAAGGCTACTTTGAAGATTCAAGGGATTGGAGTCGCCTTCATCTCAGTCAGGGAAAGATTAATCAAATTCAATCACATCTTTTTGATGCTAGGCTTATCTGCCAACCTCATATCTGCTGGTCTATTGGAGTGCCAGAGCTATATTCACTGTGATCTGCAGGTGGACACTGAAAATTACTTTGAGATAATAGCATCTATAGAAAATGACATCTTCTATGTGAATTTGAATCCCAATAATATATATGTTCTATCTGACATCTCTTCTATGTCTGGGGATATTATGAACAATCTGGAGCTTGAATCACTGACATACTTGACAGTCTCAAAGCCCAGGGCAATATCAATAGATTATGATCTGAATGCTGCATCACTGGGTCTTTTCAGCCATGATGACATGGAGCAGCTAATTAACCTGAAGAATCTGGATACTGATACCTTCATTTTGTCCTCATCAACTCAACTACCTGCCATTATGCTGAAGCAGCTATCAATTGATGAGTGACACCAGCAATTGAGCTATACTGGTGAAGAGAATCTAATTAAAATGTCACAGGAGTCCTGTTTTGAAATTGTCATCATCAGCTCAAAGAAGCTCTCATTCTGCATCACATGTGTTAAAGCCAAGTATAAATGTGCAAGTTATAAAAATGCTCTGCTACATCATGCCACTCACAAAGATCTTAAGATCTGGGTAAACCTATTTGAGAGTGGAGAAATGCTTGGTAATGAAGAAGATACACCATCTTATGCAGGTAAGAAGCTCATGATGATGATCACTGATGATGTCACATAAATGCAGTGAATCTTTCTATTGAAGTATCACAATGAGACTCTAAAATATATACAGACCTTCAATCAATTTATAAAGAATCTGCTCAATCACAGTGTTGTGATTATTCACTCTGATCACAGCAAGTTGAATTCAAACACTGCAGTCATCTATATGATGAGTGAGGGTATTAAATGAGAATCAATCTCACCTCACACTTCACAGCAAGATGATGTGTCTGAATATTCAATTGGTCTGATTATTGAAAAAGCTTAAACATTATTAATAGATTCCTCCTCCCCTCTCCAGATGTGGGGTGAGGTGATAATTGTAGTGACTGAAATACTTAATCTTATGTCAATGTCAGTCAAGCTCTATAATGATGTAGAGGATTCAGATCTGAAGTCAGTTATCTCATATGAAGTTTGACTTAGAGCTCTGTCCTCCACACATGGGATTCACTGATAAGGGTGCAAGGCTTATTTAAAAATAGTGCTCAAGTCAAATATGAAGATAGCCTCACAATCACAGGAGCTTATATTTACAGGCTATGATGACTTTACTAATTATAGATTAGTCAATCCTTCTAATGATCATCTTTACATATTGAAAGATGTAATATTTCAAGAAGATCTTCATTTGATGAATTCTCTGACTCTGTCTGAGCAAGATGTCAAGAACCTGTCTTCTGTCACCTGTATGGCTGCAGTTGCAATCCCTTCCACTCAACATGATTTATCAATAGACAATTTCATGATGAACAGGGAGTTTCTATTTATTCTTCCAGTATTTCTACACTCTACAAATAATTGATGGATAGACTATGAGATTACTGTGTGAATTCTAATATTTTTGATGCAGAACACTACTGCCCTCCCAGGGTCTGCTTTTGAGATGGAGAATTCTTCAATGCTCACTGAGAATATTACTTCAGTGAGAGAGGTCTCAGTGAGAGATTTCACTGACAATTTGACTGACATCTCTGCAGACTCTGAGATCACTGGCTTGCCAGTTTCAAAGAACTTCATCTGAGCTCAGGCATCTGCAGATTGAAAATATTACTTCCATGCCTGTGTTAAGGAGATTAATCATCTCAAGCAGATTGATGCATAGCAGCTAGTTGAAAGGACCCCAGATATGATGATTCTACATAGTCAATGAGTGTTTGACAAAAAGATTAATAATGCAGATAGAATTGAACAATATAAGATCTGCTGGATAGTCTGCAGCAATTATCAAGAAAAGAGTGTCAACTATTTAAAGACATTTACACCAGTTGTATCAGCCTCTATCTCCTGAGTGCTTATGATAATCTCAGTATTCTGAGAATGACATGTTCTGCAGATTGACATGATTACAGCATTCTTAAATGCCTGGCTTCCTGTCAATGAATGTATATATATGCATCAACCTGCCAGGTTCTGTAAGGGATGTGATGATCTGATATGTGAATTAATGCAGAGACTATATGACCTGAAGCAAGCAGCACTATTATGATATGAGAAGCTACAAAAAATGCTATTGAAAACAGACTTTCATGTCAGTTCTCATGATGCTGGTTTTTTCATAAATGATGTCTGCAAGATCTATATAATTATTTATATGAATGATGTTCACCTATACAGCTCAAATATATCAGATATTGAATGGACAAAAGCCCAGATCACTGCTAATTATGAGATCAAGAATGTGAGTGAATCAAACTGGTATTTGAAAATGAAGATTGATTGGGATGCTGAATCTTTATCACTGTCCCAGCCACTGTTCATAAAGAACCTGCTTGAGAAATTCTCAATGAATGACTGCCACTCAACATCCTCTTCTATGAAGGAGAATGTTGATTTCATGAGTGATAATGAAGAATCAATTGCTTATACAGTGGAATTTACATTATATTCTTATCAATCAGGGGTTGACTCTCTGCAATATCTCACTGCCAACACACATTCTGATATAAGCTTTGCTGCTGACTTCCTAGAGAGATTCAGCTCTCATTCTACCTTAAAGAATTGAGTGATATTCAAGCAAATTCTTAGATATCTACAAGGCATGCCTGACATAGATGTGTTCTATCAAAAAGACACAGATATAGAATCTGTGGAATTTGCTGATGCTGATTGAGCAGGCTGTGATCCAGGTTCCTGCTTCACCATCAGATATGTCATTTATATGGCAGAGGGTCTTGTTGCTTGGCAAAGCAGCAAGCAGACAGATGTTTCAAAATCATCTACTGAGGCCAAATATATTGCATCCTCAGAGGCTGCCTATAAGCTTGTCTGTCTCTGGGAATTGCTGGAGGATGCTGGCTTCATGTCATCCAGACTCAATAATCTTGATGATAATGACAGCCTGATCAAATCACCAGCCAATAAGCTGGCATATACAATTTGGGTGGATAATAAATCAGTGATTGAACTGACCAAAAGTGAGGCTATTCCACACTGTTCTAAGCATATAGAGGTCTGCTTCCATACTCTTCAGGATCTTGTCTGCAAGAATGAGATCTTGATTGATTACATCCCATCCACCAAGAACACAGCAGATGGGCTGACCAAGCCGCTTGGGGTGACTAGATACACCCTATGACAGCAGATATTAGAAGATGCAGTAAGCAGGCAGAAATGATTATATGGAGAAAATGACTGGTTTTTCAGCAATATGGGTTTTCCAGTCAAATTATGTACTGATACCTAGCTACAGGCTATTTTTTGTATGTAATCTCGAGTACAGTTACATCAGTGAGTGGGGGTGTCAGGCCTATCCGCCTTCTTATGTAATCCGCACTGTATATAACTTCCGCGTAGCTAGCGATCGCTACATAATCAATCAAGCAATCTATCCTTCACATCATGCTCTTGAGGTGACAGACGGCAGTTCTATTGGATGCAATGTGTGTACATGCTGCACGTACCCACATACGTACGGGATGACTCTATGGGGTTTTTCGAAGTCCATAATCCTTCAGCCATGGAACAAGGAACCTTCGTCTCATCACATCATGTTCATTCACCGCTATTGGCTGTGTCAAGAATGTCTGGAAATTTTCAATTTTTATGGCCAGTTTTTTTTGATTGATAACCACGTTAAAGATGTTGTAAGACAACCAGGCTCTGAGGCCGTTAGCCATTGTTTCCGCCACATTGAGGTGGACGCCCAACGTCCGAATGGGGTAATTTATAAAAAAGAGGCTGCCAATGGGGCGATCCAACACAAGGAATCGATATGCAGAATTTCCTGGATGGTGACACAGTAAAAATATACTTCCGGGGATGCCTTCCCGACCATATCAGAGAAACAGAAGAGACGTCAATTACACCCACGTTTGCCACTATAATGGAGCCGCAGCTGTTGCACGTTCAGTCAGTCTTAATTTCCCTTGAGTGTAGCCCCAGAGAAACCTTACCACGCGATATGGGCTACGTAAATGCACATACACACGTACACACATGAAAGATGTATGTGTGCTCACGCTATGCACGCATCCGGTCAGCTCTGTTTTCGAGCATATCATTCTTCCGTAATCTAACTTACATATTCATGTGAAAATTTACCTCGGCGAAGAAGATAATGGAGATCATTGAATATCCATCGCCCCTATCCTTCTGGCATGCCTGTGAGGAAATAATGATGGGGCCGATATGAAATCCATCCTTGGTTCTGGTTGTTCCATATATGAGTATAGTCTATTTTATTAAATTTCCTTTTGTATTTGACTCTGATTTCCTTCGTGTATGGTGTTTGCTGATGATACCTTTATCTGAGAATATTTGGCAATTTGAGGTTTCGGAGTTAATCAAAAGCTGACGGCTAAAATAAGTCGCGTCTCAGCATCCAGTCCGTCCTGATGTAAGTAGATTCTTTCAGAATTACTCCAAACAGAGCATCGGACCAATATTGATGGTGGATATGGCAGAAGGTTTCATCCTGCACTGCCTCGCTGTTGTCGTAAATCATACGCTAACTTTATACCGAGTATCTGAGTGCATCTTGGAACACGAGCAAAGAGTCAGAACAAAGAGCAACCTCAAATCCCTTTCCGAATTGGCACGAAAGTGAGAGCCTACGCTTTCCGCTAGTCCAGGGCTCCAAGATGCCAATCTGTGGCAGCCCCTAGTCGAGGATGAACAAGACAAGGCCCCACCTGACACCAATAATAAGGCCTACGTCCTGTCTTATTCAAAAGTCCAATATTGTGCGGGTTCAACGGCCCGTTGATAGCTGCTGGCTCTCTAGGCCAAACAATAGGTAGCACGCGAGTTTGTGGTTTACGGTGCAACTCTCATGCACCAGGGCGCTTGTATGGTTGCAACCCAGGAAGAGGAGGGGGTGGATCTAATAAGATAACTGGTGTTAATTTGCTCGATGAGAAATATTCTGTTCGGCTCAGCGCGCACAACTACCTTAAGTCAATTCTTGCATAAGTCAGAATCCAGATTGGACTGGCTGATCAGTCATTAGACTTCCAGCCTTCGGTTAATCTTTAATATTAAAAAAAAAAAAAATTCAATAGACCAATCATCAGTTTAAGGCGCAGAGGACACACTACATTTGGAGTAGCGTGAGAATATTCGCAATTCTTTGCATATTAAAATGCATCAAACTTCAGTTGAAATAATAATGAGTATGATTTGTTAACTAATCTCATTAAAGTGAACACTCTAGCTTGCTTCTCTTCTTTCACTAGCTCAAATTAGTTCACAGCTTTTTGAATATATGTATTGACTGGTTGACATTGGTAATATTTTCACTTCGTCATTAGTTATCTACCAAGCATTGCCTTTCTTGCCTTTCCCTTCCAGACAGTTTAACCGCTGATCTTCTTTTAATTTCTTGCTTATGCTAATACGATAAGCTCCAAGGGTTAGAAACATAGTCTTTGTAGGCTTCTTGTTTCTTCTTATTTCCGGGAATTTACTAAAAGCTCTCATGTGAGAGAAACCAAACACGTACTTCAGCACTTGGTGATTACATTTTGTTAGTCTACACTTACACAGGATTTCAAAACAGCAAATTGGCAATCATGGGAAGGTCTTCAGAGAGATCCGGCTTATATCTCCATATGATGTACTTCAATAAAAACACAATGAAGTAATAATGAATAAATTATGCGTAAATTAATTATGTACAATGCTTTTCAAGCCTTGATGTCCAACAAATCATTTGCGATGTTGAACCCACAGCCTAGCCGACACTACTGCCACGGCTCACATAGCCGTTCCCGAAACTCAATAACCACGGTTGGATGGATGATCTGTAGTAGTGGCAATCCCCGCAATTTTTTTTTTTTTTTTTTTTCCTAAATATTCAAAAAAGGTGATGGGCGCACCCAATATTAGATCCGTATATGGAAACTTCGCAGCCACGATTCATGTCGGCCCTCCAGGGGGCTTGATACCGCCTAGCTGAGGGGAAGCCCAAGTTAACGAGAGACATTTATCATGCAAGTCACAGGAATGTGCGGTTCTTAACTTCAATAATAAAAAAAGTTTAGCTTCAGGAATTCCACACTGAGCGAGGAGATCTGCAACTTGAAACTGGGTGGAAACACAAGTTGATAATTCCGCGTGTTGTGGAGAATTGGAATACATAGCATAGAAATTGCCTGCAGTACATCCAGTACGACGCGCCAAAAAGACGGGGCTTTAAATCCTGAGAGCACGAGGCGACCAAAGAATTTCCATATTTTGGACTGACGGATGATCTAAATTAATATTGTTGATCGATGGACGATGAAATATTTTATTGATTGCGTCTTTTCCCCGCCAGTAATATGTCAGGAAACTGACAAAGAAATTTCCAAGGTTATGTATGTATGTATGTATGATTGCTTGTGGGCACCAATAACATTGCTTAATGAGACCTGAAGGGCAAATCACCGTTTTACCCCCTCGATTTACAGCATGCATGAATGAAACGCCATATTATTTTATCACTAAACATGGAGCAGTACGGAGTACACTTACAAACGACAGGTTTAAACTCCAACAGAAAGCGAAAATGGGTTCGGTCTAATTTAATTAAATCTATTATTGGTTACTCTCTCCGTCATTCTCACCGTCTCGAGAATGCTTGTTGATTTCGAGACCCTCGCGACATGAGAAAAATCACACGCTTGAGGTAATGTCAAAGTTAGAAAAATCTCAGCTTTGTGAAGCCTGTATTAATATAACCTTCATCTCGAACAGTATTCCCCATTCTCATAGCATTCGATTGTCCTCCATCTTTACCGATTACGAAGTTTACCCCAGCATTCTATTGATAATGTGGCGATGTGCTCTCTGGAGAGGAGAGTTAGCTACTGTAACAACTAGCTCTTACAATTGCAATGGATGACATGTCACTTCTGAAAACGATCAACCTAAAGCATCCACATCCAATGAAAGCCCTGATTTTGATGGCATTGCGACTGGAGCGGTTATTGCGTAGCGCGTGGTCCTGTGCCTCGTTCTGCGAGATACATAGCCTCCTGCTCATCCGTTTAACTGCCGCTGACGCGGTACGATAGAGAGCGCGTGTGATCGGGATATGCATACCAAATAACTCCGTACCTAGGGTAGCCAGGGTGATGTCCTGTATGTATGGACAGACTACATAATTCCATACATGTACTCAATGTATTTCTGTTACATACCTGGAATCAAAGATCAAAAGCAACGCATCTTCCATTTTTCTTCAAAGTGATCAATCTATACATAACCCCGGGAAGCTGAATCTTTGAGAGATGGAGTATATATATGCTTGCTATTTGATATCTCAAAACATGATTCTTGAGAATTCGCGTGTTAACAAGAGGGGGAACGTGAATCAACACTACTAATAAAACAATTCACGAGACATCCCCAACACGCAAAGTCAACGGTCTGGAGCTGCCCATGTCTGAAAATAGCGACGTCAAAGTTTTATTCCAAAAGATGCGGAGAATATTTACACCTCTAAGAAAAGAATGCTAGTTTTCTCGTTTCGGATCTATCAATAATACTCGCCATCTCGACTAATGTCCTCCGCTCTTGAAAAGAGAGACCGTCAGAGTGGCGTTGGGAGAAGCGATCTTGATACCATATGTGCCTAGAAACCTCTTTCCGGTTGACGATGATTCTTGTCTTTTCTTCAAGAGCGGAGTCACAATGATGATCGTATCAAACTTCGGTCGCATATTTGCGGAGCCCGGAGTATTATTGCAAAATATTATTAGAGCTGATAGAACTCCTAGCAGTTAGGTCCCGCCAAAGGCTGGCTGGGACTGTTTCGAAGCAAATGGGGCCGTCAACATTGGATGTGATGACTTGGCAAGTCACCACATGATCCATTACCTCAGTTTGTCGTTGGACCTGATTGATTATACGCGGAAAATACAGGATTGTTATGAAAGGCTCTATACAGAGCTGGCTGCGGCTTTCTTTGAAAGGGGGAGATTCACAAACGCATGGGAAAGAATCTCAAAGAAGAGGGGATAACGTCTTGCCAAATTTTTAACACCTTGATGCATTTCTAAAATTGTGGATCAGCCGTGTTCAAAAATGTACGATGTTCCACATATTTTCCCAAAGGCCGGCGATTTCCGTCAACTCTAGCGTGCGCTAAAAGCCTGATAAACGATCGTTACAGAATGCTTGTGCTCCGTATTTCAACCTTAAAATCTTACCGCGTTACGCACGTTGCCCAGAGACCGTTGTTTTGTCCGTTAGCTTTGAGCTTATTTCCCTCTAACTTTGTTCTTTTTAGTAAAACCTTCATGAGCTAGCGCTCGTTTGGAAACCCAAGTCACCAACTCATTTGCTTTTACGACCCGCTTTGATTGGAGGGTAAGGACCAAGAGTCAGCGTTAGGTTGAATATTTTCTTTGGTTGCTTTTGAATGGTGCTTCCCTTTTCAACCCTGAAGGTCTCGACAGAGGTCATCCCTCGACCAAGCTATCTAGTGAGGATAAAGCCTCTTCCACCTTCCGTCCCTCCCAACTAGCTCCTGATACCAGTTCGTTGGGGTCCGCTACAGTTTCCGCAAGGCCTGGTCAAAGTGATAATAAAGCGTTATCGTGAAGAGAATTTTCCACCAGGGAATTTTTGAAGGTGGTGGTTGAATGTTTGGTGAGCATCAGCAAATGCTTTTTGCAACCTAACGAAGTGATTATCGTCTCCCGATTACAGCACTCCATGTGGGAATGCTTTTCAAAACCCTCCTTGTGCTAGTTTGAACCAGAACAGAGAAAACCGCCCAAGCCGCCGGAGGGTAACTTGGTAATGATACTTATTAAGGGATTCATTGCGTGCTTCCAATGCCGTCAGAAACTCTTTGGTCCCAGGGGAGCGAATTAATATGATCATCGAAACAGAACGATAATAAAAATAATTTTGAGTGTCAGATACCGACCTGGATGAAATCGGAGAAGAAACGGGTCGTGGATTTCCAGGACACACAGAAACAAACATCCGCCATGGTCAATGTAAGTTTTAGCATCGTTAGCTGCTCTTGTGAGCTAATCTTGACTGCCCCCCATCATGCAAGAATTGCATTTGATGCTTGGCTTTGCCCCTGTGTCATCTGTGAACCATCACCTCAGTACCTCAGAACTTAATCGCTACCCTTGATAGATGTGTCAGAATTGACCCAAACGCATTTAGATATTACTACGCATGCAGCATGAAGCAATTTGTTGCAAGACATTTTAACGTCATGGTCGTTTCTCTGGGCGTTAATTTTGTCACTTTTTCGACAAGTGGCGTTGTCAAAATAACAAGACCCTGCTCGGTACTGAGGGGATCATGGTCCAGAGTATTCCCCAGGTAAGTAGCGCGGCGGACTCCGCAACAACTAGCGGGTAAGCAAAAACCAATATATATATAATAAATGAAATGACCAGAAAAAAGAAGAGGAAACAAGCTGAAATGAACCCACTGAAATTAATAATAAATTACTACGCAAGAAGTTACTGACTATTTTTTCTAAGCTAAGGAGTTTAACACGGCAGATCTTCGCGAATAACATTGGATACTCAACAGGCCGCTTTTGGCTAACGTCAATAACAGCAAGACCAGCGTATGTACTGTACATACATACATACATGTTACCAGGAACATATTATTCTTATTATTACCGAATCTTGCGTCACTGACCATCGACTTCCAAGTCCAAAATCGGGGTGGGTCACTTGCAAAACAGCTGGGATGGACCGTCGAAGGATAAAAACGACGGACTTTGCAACGATCTTTCAGCGAAAGCCATTCACGCCGATTTCTCGAAGGCCTTAAACTATTTGCCCAATTGCCGGCATTGAGAAGGCACCTAGCGCGCCGACATGGTCCAACCATTCTCGTGGGCACCCTTCCATGCATCGGTAGCCCTATTATCTGAGGCTTAGGCTCTGTTTTTGCATTTTCTTTTGCCAAAGGCATTTACTGTTGTTCATCAAAGCCTTCCCGCGGTCCCTGGGCCCGTTGGTCTCCAAGGCTGTATTGGGTTTGGTTACGGGCCTATGACCAGCGTTGATCCAAAGTGCTGAATGACTTAAATGTGGTGGTTGTCCGCCCTCTCATTGACTGTCACCTTTCCCTCTCCCCATCTTTTGTTGTTTAACGATTGATCTCTTGAAGACTCCCTTTTCCAAAGATCAAGCTTTCTCTTCTTCATTTGAATTAAAGTTATTTGGCTCCTTTGTTGGGCTTTCTCATACGTTTCTCCATGCATAGTTGAAAGACCTTTCATGCATCTGAGCTGCAGCTCTTTCTGAGTTCCTCCTCTGTCCGCTTGTTACTTGAGGGCATATGCCTTCAGTGACTTGCAAATTCGTCCTCCTCAAGAGGCCTAATTTGGTTTGAAGATAATTTTTTGCAGCGTCTTCCTTCGAAGTATCCATCGAGGCTGCTCTAGGGATTTCGGAAATCCCCCCCAAATCCTCCTCGACTTCACGGGGGCTAGTGGCGCCAGTTCGTGAGCACAGCTTTAACAAAGTTTATCAGAACAATATCAGATTGCCCTCCCTCTCTCATTTTCGACTGTTTGAGTGTTCAAGAGGGAGGGAGCGACCGTCCACATTCCGATCCCCGAGGGCGATCCTTCGGAGGAGACCAGGAGTTTATGTCGAAGCGGCCATATGCATCAGATTTTCCGTCCGGTAGTCCTTCCCCCCCTATCCGCAAAACTATAGTGACAACTGAACCACATCTCTGGAACCGGAATAATCAGAGTCTCCGAGCCCTAGAGCCACAGCAAGCTAGGGAAACTTCTGCAGCAGTAGTGGCAAAGAGGACGATAACCCCAGACCAGTTATGGCGGACTCCAATAACTCGCTCCATGGGGATAAATGCCATCCTTAACCCTTCTCATTCTTTGGCTATGGACCCATCTCCTCCACTGGGGATTCGCGATCTTCTGGAGCCCGCTCTTTATTCGTCTTCTTCTCCTTCCACCAATCCACCAGCCACTCCATCCCCTATGGGTTTAACTCCATCATCGGATCCATTCATGTCACAACATGGTCGCAGGATGTATTCACCAGTACCGCAACGCCATATACTCACGGCTAAATCACCTGCAGTACGTTCTCAAAACATTGGTTTCGGATACCCTCCTGTTCGTGGTACCATGCTTGTGGAGCAAACGCCCTTCGTTCCTCAGCCGTATGGGGACTCGCTAGTACGATCGTCCATGGATGCATCCCAATCAACGCGGCATTTCATGTCCAAACTATCCAACCGTCCAACTACTTTCCCTGGCAATTCGCGTCCAGTTGTCGCACCACAGAACACAACGTTAGATATGGCACAGACAGCATACAGACCGCTTCTCCAGGCTTCGCATCCTCCTTCACCAACCAATTTGCTCCAGCAGCCGATTTCATCTCTTCCCCAGCATATAGGCGACCCGTTCACTGGTGAAGAAAGCTGGGGTAGAACACCGCAGAATAGTGATTCTTCCTACACATTTGTAAGCGCACATAGCAGATTTTCTTCGATAAGGGATCCATCATCACAATCGATCATTCCAATTGATTTTGATTCTGGATCTCGAGAAGCGGCGGAGAAACGATTAAAAAATTGTGCTGCTTCCAGGAGTTTTCGGAAAAGGAGGAAACTAAATGAGAACGAGATGAAACATAAGTTGGAAAGACAGGAGGACAAGATTAGACATATAACCGAGGCGAGGGATTTCTACCGCGCGGAACGAGACTTTTTCAAAGCCTTGTATGGCAGAGATATGGGATTGGATCGTATACCCCGGCGACCGCAGTCTCCCGTCCCGGAATCTGAAGGAGAGCAAGAAGTGTAAGATCCGATAAAACGAAGAGGCCCCGATAGGCACGTTCGCCAGAGGACAAGTTCGGCGCCAACTAGATTGCCGTTACCGTCAATTTCCCTCCAAAGTCAAACCCATTCCCAACGAGGACAACAGTCTCAGCTGCGTGGATCTCCCAAGTGACTCGTCCACGTATGCCAAATCTGTTTCCGTCGACATGTGTTCCTCCAGAGACCTCCCTACCACCTCTATATTCTCTAAGAAAACCGCACGGCAGGAGCTGGAGTCATGGCCCGTAGGTATACAATTTACAGCAGAGTGCATCCGTTTCGTGAAAATCAGCGGCGACCGGTTCCCAATCGTTCATTACTATGTAGCAGCGTTTTGAGGGGTTTTCTCTTTTTCTAATTTTTTTTCTTTTCTTTTTCTCCTTTTCTCCTTTTCCGGGGTTTTTTTTTTTTTTCTCTTTTTTCTTTTTTCTTTTTCTTTGCTCGTTGTCAAATTTTGAGAGATATGAAAAGGCAATCTTTTGTTTCGACTTCTTCGTTTCTTTTGTAATATTTCCCCCCTGTCAGAGTCAAGCAGTTGAATGAGTCATGTAGTCGCTTAGTCAGCCGCGCTCGTTCTCTTTCTGGGGTCCCCACCTCGCTAAAAGGCTTGGCCCAACCTCTGTCTACCACTTATTTTCCTAGCAGTCAGTTGTGTTGGATGAGAACGTTGTTGTTGCATTGATCTAGCTACGTGTCAAACTGCGTTTTGATATGCTCAGAGATCACGTGATTAGCGGGCAGCCTGCTCACAACCCGCTGACGAGTTAGAGGAGAGGATGCAGAGAATATACAGCCCAACTCGATGCAACCTTAGCTATTGAGATATCCCCACACCCCCTCTTCATTTCCATTTCGAAGCCAGACATAAACATAACATATTTTATGGTAAGATGAGGGCAACCTTGGGGCTAGCGGGAGGCGCAGAAGTCTGGATTGTACTTCAATTTTACTTCCCTCCTTACTTCCATTCTAATTCAAGCTTTACTTCATCAACAAACACATCACTCGTTTGTTGGCCGAATTGCCTCCTCCATCAATGTTAACTGTAAACTATATCGCTCGCTCTCCGCGTTTCCTGGACGACACTTCCACTTCAGCAGTCTTCTCTGCCATCCATCTTGACAAAGCTGACTTTGAGCACTCCGATGTTGAATAGTTCTTTTATTGTGTTTCCGGCCTTGATGTTTGTGCGTATCGTTCAGATGGGCGGTGGTTTTACATTTGGGCCTCACATCGTCGTGGGGTTTATATCGACCGGGTAAAAGGACCTGCACTCCGATCGCCTGATTTAATTTTTCGTATTCTTTCTATTTACTTATTATATTGATACCCTGGGAGGCACAGGTGGTTTGTTATTGCAAGCATCATTCCCTTGATTTCCGTTATTGCTATTTTCCTTCCCTTACTTAAATTTGTTTTATTTTGTTTCCTCTCAGAATTATATTCCTGTCTTCCCTTAATGTTATCCCTGCCCTCTCCTCGTGTTTTATTTTGTTTTACTTTTTCCCCCTGTTTCTTTCTCTCTACTATGCCTGTGCACATAATACGAAGTTGTCGTTCGATTTCCCTGTCCCAATCTCTTACACCCGGAATCGCTCCCATTCCTTGCAGATATTTCTTTCTTCTTCTTCTTCTTCTTCTTCTTCTTTTCTTCACTTTAATTCAGTCCCGTGTTTTGCGCCCAGAATGAAGCATATTTGTATCTAAAATGTTGATATTTCACCTCATTTTTTTTTCCTTTCCCTCTGAGCCGCTTGGCTGGATATCTAGTCAATGTAATGGTCTGTATATTTATTATCGATCGCGCGTTCCGAAATGGGGATTCGGGATGAGCAATGTAGCAGAGAAAAGACTGGGAGAAGAGCATGCAAAGAGGAGCAATCCAATCCATATATTATTAGTTGAGTTTATGCATTCGATAGGCTAACTATGCAAGCAGCTGTGTAAGGTACACATATATGTCTCCCCATTGATATGCAGGCATTTCCCCCTAATTTTCCTCCGCAGCTGCCAGCAAGCAGACCTGATATCTACCTGACTGACTGAGATATTATGCGTGAGATGCGCCCCTCGATTGCCCAAACAAGTCCCACACGCCCGTCCTTGCGCTTTGCAGACGTGGGACCTCTCTCCTCGGGCAGTTGGGCTTTTCCACTCTCTCTGGGAGAAACAAAAAAAATCAATTGATAAACTAACTGCTACGGGCTAGAAGCAGTCAGGTGACATGTTTGAGTGACACATGCTGCGTTGGCATGCCGACGCAGTGTGTTGCCTCCTCCTCCTCCTCCTCCTCTTGAATTTTACTTATGGATCGGCCTCCTCCTCCTCCTCTTCCTTCTTCCTCAGAGGGATTTCCCCCCCTTTTGCAGATTTTGCAGATTTCTCACGGGGTGTTTTTTTTTTTAGCTCCTGGACTTGTGGGTTCTTGCAAAAAGCTCTGTTGCTGCGAGCGGGCAGTGAAACTATCCTTGCCAGCAGTGCCCATCGCCCTTGTATCTATCCACTTGGTAGGATGGTTCCCTGAGGAGGGACGATGCAATATCCCCTCATTCTCCTGATCAACGCACGTGCGCCCGGTTTTTGCCCGGTCTGAACGCTCTTCTCTTTGACGCCGCTAACATAGTGTGTTGCTTGCCGCGTCCAGTGGACGCCTCATATATCATCTATCCCCCTCTCGTCCTCGGGCAGCGTTTTCTTTCCCTCGCCTGTAAATTCCAGAACCCCTCTCCAGAGTGACATCGGCCTCCATTCCTCTGCTTGGGTCATCCTTCAATACAACAAAGCCTTGGTTTGTTCGTATCAGCGCATCCAATAGGAATATCCACGACTTATTTGGATTTCATTGGAATTCTATTGAAGATGCGGTGATCACATGATGTCCGCGTGACCCCCCCCCCCCACCATTCCAGGAAGGTTTACGTTAACTATTAGCGGCCCACTCCGCAAGTCCGCCCTATTGCGACACATGTAATTGGCGGGGATAGTATATCTTCAGAAGCTCGAGAAGCGAAAACAATCAAGATATATTGATTTATATATTGAACATCCCCCTCCGGCTGCCATTTATCCTACCGTCTGTTGACGTGTCTCTCACTCACTCTGTCTCCCTCTTTTTTTTTGTCAGTTTTGTTTTTTTTGTTTTTTGTTTCTTTCTTCAATTTGGTCATTGTTAATCTTTGTTTTAATGGAACGTTCGCTGTTTCATAGGATAGAAGAAGAATATCATTCATTCCTGTTACTTCTATGATGGTTGATGGGTGGTAGGAGCTGTCGTACTCTTTTTTTTTGGCGACTATATATTTGGAGAAGAGGCCTGTTTTCTCCCTTCGCACTAAAGCACCGCGCAATGGAAGTGAACGATCGAACCGCGCTGCTCGCGTTTCATGATGCAGACGACGAATCAGAACGTGAGGTTGAATCAAGAGCGTCGCTGTCATCACCTGATGTTGGGGATTCTGATCGACGCCGATGGACACGTTTTAGTCTAAAAGATAGGGGTTCATATCTGCAGGATCGCTGCTTTGCAGTCTCCGCTGTCCTCATCTTAATGCTGATATGTGGAGGGTTTATAGTCGCCTTGTAAGAAAATTAAATAAATACAGTCACCTTGGATAAAGTTGAATGTTTGCTGATTTTGCATGCATCAGTGTCTACAAAAGTTCCGGTAGAGGTTTGGTATGCACCACAGTGCAGAATGGATACCAATGTCACCAAAAATACTCTCAACATTGGGGGCAATACACCCCTTTTTTCTCTCTGCGCACCATCTCGGAGACCTCTCCAGATATTCCCGTTGGTTGCACTGTCACTTTCGTTCAAGTCCTTTCAAGACATGGGGCAAGGTATCCAACCAAAAATAAATCTTCAACCTACTCACAACTCATTAAACGCATCCAGGATCGCACAAAGACATACCTCAGTGAATTCGCAGTTTTGGAGACCTTCAATTATCAACTTCAAACGGATGATCTCACTCCATTCGGAGAGTCCCAGTTGACTGACTCTGGAATAAAATTCTATCGCCGTTACCAACATCTAACGAAAAAATCAAAGATTTTCATACGTGCTTCTGGGTCACCACGGGTTATTGTCTCTGCGGAGAAATTCATCGAAGGCTTCTACCAGGAGAAACTACGTGACCCAACTGCAACGGATAAGGACGCCAAACCATCCGTGGCCGTTATACTTAGCGAGGACCCTGGCTCCAACAACACCCTCGAACACGGCAACTGTGACCTCTTCGAAGAGACAAAGCCTTCCCACGTCGTCCAGAAAGAATTTGCAAAAGTATTCGCCTCTCCGATCCTCAACCGCTTCAGCTCCCATCTCATCGGCTCTAATCTCGACGTCGCTGATATTGTCCACCTAATGGACCTTTGCTCCTTTCATACTGTGGCCTTCACACCGGACGCAAGAACCATCTCCCCTTTATGTAACCTCTTCAGCAATGAAGAGTGGACACAGTACGATTATTACAACACCCTAGGAAAATACTATGGGTTCGGAGCCGGCAACCCACTCGGCGCCAGCCAAGGCGTCGGCTTTGTCAACGAGCTAATCTCCCGCCTAACTAGCAAGCCCGTCAGCGATTCAACATCCGTCAACCACACGCTAGACTCTGACCCGAAAACATTCCCGCTTGGGCTGCCTCTGTACGCCGACTTCGGCCACGACAACACGATGACGTCCATCTTCACAGCTCTGGGCATCTTTAATGACACACAGCCACTGTCCAACTCTACTGTGCAGGGTCCCAGTGAGACGAAGGGGTTTTCAGCCTCCTGGATAGTCCCGTTCGCTGCCAGGGCGTATATCGAGAAAATGGAATGTGATTCGACGCCCGTGGCGAGGGAGCCGCTGGTCCGTGTGGTGATTAATGATCGCGTTGTGCCGCTGCATGGGTGCAAGGTTGATTCGCTGGGGAGATGTCGATTGAAGGATTTTGTGGAGGGGTTGAGTTATGCAAGGGCAGGAGGAGATTGGGAGAAGTGTTCTATTTGATTTCACTTATCTTTTTTTTTTTTGTTCTCTTATTATTTTGAATAATGATTTTCATGCAATGGCAGGGTGCCCTCTGACGGATTTCGGATTGATTTTGATGATTTTTGATTACACTGGGTTATTTTTGATGATACTGATGAAACGAACGTTTTGAAGCGTTTCGTTCTTTGCTTTTCTGGCTATTTCCGTTGTCTCTTCAACCCTGTTGGTTTTTTTTTTTCTTCGTGATGTTCGGTCACATCGGTCACTACCTCCAATCCCATACTTTCCCACCCCTTTTTTTTGACCATTCGTGTTTAGTATCATCTGTACTATATTAAGAAGCCTAGATATAATAGATAATATAACGACCGTCTTTTCTCTTGTATATGTAGGAATAGCTATAACACAAACTCTATCAATATATCCGGCCCCTGGAAAGAAGCTCAGCTGCAGTATATTTTTTAAAATTTGTGCAAAGATCTTCACCATAAATACATCAAAAATTACCTATATAAATTCCACATATACACACGCAGACATGCATGGATTTAAGTTGTGAGTTGTGTGAGGAAGAGGGATAAGAAACGAGAATCTATATCAATACATACATACAATAAAAAAAAGTGAGTTAAAACACAAGGGGATGTGTTTACAAGATAGAATTAATGAATTCATGATCTGCGAGAAAGAGAGGGAAGAGCGGAGGATATAAAAGCCGTAATGAGTATGTAACTTCAAGAAGGAAATTATTATTATTATTACCCTTTTTTTTTTTTTTTTTTGTAATCCGAGGAGAGCAATCCGGCGCCATTTCCCAATAACGTGTACATTACAACTTAAGAAGTGGAAGTTTCAGGTTTCCGTCGTCGATGCTGATGAGGGCGTGATTGGCGATGGCGATGGAGAACGGGAGTTTTCATTCACGGGTGGGAAATGGTTGGTTCCCGGTAAGCTGCGCGGGGCTTTATTGGCGAACACTGATTGTGTTCAAATCAAGTTTAGAACGGCAACTCCTCAACTATAATAATTATATGTGGGAGTCTGCATCATCTCTTACCTCGTTGATATAGCTCATAACTGGTATATATTAGAATTGGTAATGCAACCATGGCGGATGTCCATCTGGGGAAGCAGATCGTCAGTGAATATAAGCTAGTTCTTACACGAATGAGAAATCGAGATTGGAGGAAAAAGCGCGTTTAAGAAGAAGCCTGAGATATAAGAACCCTACCGTCTTGCAAGAATTTTATACTGCTTCGTTTGCCTGATATCTTGCGGTTTAGCACTCTCAGCCTGCGCCTGGGCCGGCTCCAATCTTTGTGAGCTTAGCCGCTGTGCCGAAAGAGGAGAGGCTCGTTTCGCTGGTGGTTTGATAGGAGGTAGAGAAGATGACTGCTGGGAAGGGGATGCTGAGAACTTGCGTACGGGAGGGGCCATGTTTGTCGCAGCTGCGGAGGAAGACCCTGTGGACCCTGCAATTCTATTAAATTTATCCTCTGCTGCTGCTGCTGATTTACTGTTGCTAGCCGCCAGGGCGTTGAGGATGTTGGAACCTTGCGCCGCAGCGTCGTCAACGAAGGGTTTTAGGGGAATCGTCTCCGGCTGTGGTCTCTGCACTCCCTGATTGCCCTGTCCAATAACTGTGTTCTCAACCATGGCAGACTTGGCCCGGGATGATATTTCCCCATCAGCCTGAACGGTAGGCCCAGCTCCCACTCCCACCTGTTGCTTCCTATCCCACTTCTGCTTTTCACGTATCGCCGCGGTGGCCGAATGGGGATTCAACTGTGTGGATGGCGTTTGGAACTTGATGGATAGCTGGGAAGGTGGATTCGATGTGGAGGTGGTAGATGGGGATTTCGTGCCTGTTGATCCAATATCAGCCCGATTATTATTATTATTATTATTATTATTATTATTATTATTATTAGTAGTAGTAGTAGTAGTATCCGGAGATGAGGACGGGTGCGGAGGAACTTTTCAGTGGAGTCGGGCAGCTCTTCGTCACCCTGGACTTCTCTCTAATTGGTGCAGTAGTTGTCTGGTTTATCTCTGATACTGGTGCTGGATTGGCTTTGGTCGACGGTTTGCGTGGAATTCGGGTGGTGGTTGTGGTAGCGGGGTTTGGCTCGTTCGTGTATGTTGGGCTGGATCTTTTTATGACAGCGTTCGTAGTTGTAGATGCGGCTGCGGCTGTGCCTGCGGAGGACTTGTTCGGTGCCGCGACGGTCACAACTTTCTTTGGTCGACCGCGCTTCTTGTTCGCAGACTCTGGAGTGCTAGACATGATGATTTGTTTCGTTGATTGTGGAATAAGAAGGGTTCGACCTCTCAGTCGGTTCATTCGTACACTCCAGTAAGAAAATTGACAAAAGTAGTTTAAAAGAAGACTTCAAAAGAGAGGGTGGGAAAAACGGGAAAAATCCACAACCCTTGACTCGGCCGTTGAGTCAGTTAAAAAACTAATTTTAATCCCTTCATTACTCCCAGCATTTACAAGTAAATCTTTCATGTTGATAGGCGGTCGCCCTTCTATTCCCTGTCTAGTCGTGTTCCCCGCTCGAATCTTGCGGTCGTTGCGCGTCTGCCAACAACGCGTAAATTGGTTTAAAATTAATCGCTTTTCGCGTCTTGCACTCGGCATCCTGGTTCAGAATTTTACCGCATCGCACCGAGACTCCAGAAATTCATTGCAGCAAGACAGGTCCAGTCCAGTCCAGAACATGTACAGCACAGTACTTTGGCACTCCAGGGTAGCTAATAAGTTAAGGGCTTGCTTTAAAAATAATAGGGGAGCCCTGCATTATTTCTGCAAGTGAAGTCAGACAGACCCCCGTGGAATGAAGTCCAGTGTGTTGCGCTCAAAACTGATGATCCACCTGTGTTAGGGTGAAGATATTGAGATATTTGAAGCAAGAGAATGGAAGCTGTGTGTTTACTATGAATATTCGCTTCTGGAACTAGCTAGTTATTGTGACTTGACATGCTTAAATTAACTGGCTTTAAGGAATTTATGAACATAAATGGGAGGAAAAAGCAACAGCACAGCAAAACAAAATGGAAGAATTACTATATGCAGACTTCCTTGTATTTTTTCTTGTCCATCTATTGGCAAGATGAATGAAGGATGATACGTGGCTCAGGTGCAGCAAAAGTAAAAGAAATAACATGCACAACACATCCTACAAGGAAAAGAACACTGTTGAAAACTGGATGCACGCCAAACGCTGACCTGATCGTGATCTCCCCATCTACCAAAGGTATACTTCTAGTATAGAAAAATAGACGTGTAAGCGGGGGACAGCAAACTTCAAAACAACTCTAACCACCGCCGGCGGGAGCTTATGCTATGCCTTATTTTTTTCAGATGCGGATATGCGGGACCTGACCCATTCTATTCGGTAACTAAGCCAAGCCCATACGGAGAAACAAAAAAAGAGAAGAAAAATAATCGTTCAATGCAATGAATCAGAGAACAGGCGACACTCTTTCCGCAAACCCTCAGTAGGAAATTCTTATCGACATAGAGGAGCTTTGACAGGAGACAACAAAGGGGAAAACATAAGAGATACAGAATAAACTCCGACTCCAGGGCCGTTGCACGTTCATCGTTGGATCCACTTTGCTGTCACCAAGCCTCGCAGTATACAGTGATAATCTGACCTTGTGTTATCTCGCTCGCGTTGATTTCGAGGGTAGTGGAAAATGAAATGAAATGAAATAACAACAATCGTCATGCACCTAGAGTAGGATGAAAGGAAAGAAAAAAGAAAGAAAAATCCTTGTCATTCCGGATTACCCAATATTTTAAATCATGTTGCTTCCTTTGGAGCATCCTCTCCGGTGTGGGCTGCAATTAACATTATTTTTTCAACAGAGGGTTCCTTGTTTTAGCTAACGGCAGATTCATTCATAGGAGCCTCCTCAGCCACCATTCCATCCGCAGCTTGAGCGTTCGGTTCACGCTGAGGCTGTCGCGGAGAGTATTTGAAGGGTTGGCGAGGGTTGTAGATTTGCGGGTTGCAGCGGGGGCGGCAACACGTCTCGGTGGGCGGTCGGGACCACGCGCAGGAGGTGGAGCAGGTTATGAATCCACATCCATAGATTCTGCATCTGCTGTAATTTTAGGCTTTTGCTCTCGGGTTCTGGAATGGGAACGGGCGAATATGTGTTCACACGACGTTTTTATTTCCGCTGGTTTTGTTGATGGTTGGAGTCTCATCATCCTTTTTCGGAACAGTGTGTCCCCAAGAACCTCACCAGGGGTACGTTTCCGATCTCTTGGTGGCTATGTCAGGTGCATCTTTGTATGGCCAGAAGAAAATCTTCTAGAGCCATCGAGCGATCGACGATTCCGCGAGTCCGGGCTTGCTACAGGTCCAAGGCCCTTGCGTTTGTTTCTCAACATCTTCCGTAATAAATGGGCCCTCTAGATCCTGCGGAAGGTTTGGCTTTCGACCCGGAGGAGGATAGCCAAAGGCATCGTCACATTCGATCTGGGAATGCGACTTCATCCGAGGAGGGGATGGACCGGTGCGGGGGTTGTTGAGGGAATCCCTTGGCCTGATCCAGGTATAAGTATCGGGAACAATAACCTTTTCTTCGTTATGTTCGTTTCCAAGCCCTGTGTGGACCCAGCCATCCTTGTCAGTCCAAGGACGAGGAATGTAAGAATGAGACAAAACAGATAGTGAAAGAGGTTTCAGGATCGCGCTGGCAGCGAACTCGCAGGGGACACCTGCCTGAAAAGTTTCTCTGGAAATGGGTTGCTCCACTATAGCCGTTTGGCCAGCGTCCTTTGGTTCCGTAGTTTCACTCGCTTCTGCGGGTGAAGGGACGATGCCAGCGATCGAAGCATCTGAGGCATTGGCGTCTTTAGTCGCAATCGTCTGGTCAGCATCTTTTGACTCCGCAACTTCACTTGCTTGTGATTCTGAGTGGACGGCGTTAGCTGCCGCAGCATTAGAGGCACCGACGTTTTTGGTTGCAACGTTAAGAGCATCAACAAAATTAGGGGAACTGGATACTTCGCCACTGGTAATAACTCCCGCAGGAGTGGCTGATGTCTGAATACCTGTTCTTGAAGGATCCACATTGGTCGCGGAAGTCTGAAATGGAGAAGATGATGAACTGCCACCTGGGACAGTCTCTTTGTTTCCCTGGGAGGTGTCGGCTTCTGCCGGGTGCTCAGTCGAAGTAGCACCTAAAGCAGCTATGAACTGTTTCGCATACCATATGCGGTGTGAATGCTTGTAATTGATGGGCACTCGAGGCTTGAACTTAGGCTTCAAAGCATCTGTAGCTAGGCTCAGAAGTTTCTGAACTATAGCTTCCGATTCTGGAGGCGGAGTAAACGCTGAAGCAGCAGGCCTTGGAGAAGCAGTAGTTGATTTGGGTTTGGGAAAGGGGTTGGTTGCTTCGTCGGGGATGCTGGGCTCCAGGGCTCCCTCCAACCTGGAGGTGTCAAGATCTTCCGGAGCTGTGATCTCGTCGGCGGAGAGAGCAGCGGCTGATTGTTTTGGCAGCCAGGACAGTGAATCGACTGTAACATTCGCATTAGGGGTTTCCTCGTCCATTTTAGGTATGTCGTTGTTGGCGGCACTTGGTTGCTCGCAGGTATTTTCGACAATATTTTCTGTGGACATCGCTGTCTGAGGTTTCCCCCTTTTTGAGCCTTTCGCCCTGGTTTTTTTGCTCGTTGCCGTCTGCGAGCTGAGTTTAGCTTCCAGGGCCCTCAGCGTGGGTTTTCTAACTCGGTTTGATTGACGAGGTGGCATATTGGACTGTAAAATGGAGTTTGAAGAAGAGATATCTTGAGATTCTATGGATATCGGTGAGGTTTTTGTACAAGTATGATCTGGCAGAGAGGAATTGGAGCAAGAAAAAGGAGATGACAAGCTAGAAGAAATAGACGGTCGGTGAGGGGTGCTGTAAAGATGATTCTCCAACACCCCAGGAACAGTAGAGAATTTTTTTTCATTGACATCTTTCGGTGAATGAGATATGTTGAGACAATGGTAGTTTGACAATCCGCTGAGAGCATCGAATTCACCATCCAATCCCAGAGAAAATTCACAGGAGTTGATTTGTGCAACGGTGATATCCACCACCTCTGCAACATCAGTATCGTGTGATAGAATAGCAAATGCCTTTGCAAATCGAGGAGAAAGAGACGATTCTAGGTTAAGAAGCTCAATTAGGGTATCAGTTGCTGCTTGACATTTTGATTCTGATTCCGGACAAGAAAGAACCACAAGGACATTCACAATGAGTTTTCCTGCGGTTGCTATGCCCAAATCTACACAATGCGCATCTACCATTGCGTTGAATAAACTATCTCCGAATCCCGGTTTAAAACGTTTTAATTTAGCCAGCTTTGGGGCGATTCTTTTTGCTTCCAAATAAGTTAGGTAATGGAAGAATTTGGTAGAACAAGAGTCAACAGAAAGATTTTGTTTCTCCCCAAACTGTTCTCTATTAATTGTTGTCTGCCTCTCGTCTTTATGTATACTATTCGATTCTACTCGAATTGCAAATAGATTAGATAAACACCATTGTGTCGGGGAGGGAGACCTGTGACTAACCGCAAAATGTGCCGGATTTAAAATAGGGCACCCCACTCGCGGGATGCAAAGCTGCATCTTTCTTAACTGAGCTTCCACTAGTGTTTGGTCTTTGAGGAGCTTTGCTTCTGGGAGGATCCTGTTCGAGGGGAAGACCCTTTCTTCCATTGTCGATTTGCTGAGCAAGCCATATCGCCATAGCAATTGGACTATTGTCCCAAGGATATTTGACTGAGCCGAATATCTGAAATTTTGGCGTAATCGACGAGCTGATATGAGGCTCCTTGTGCACAGCTCTTGCATGTCTTGCTGCAATTTTACCAGGTTTCGAAGGAAAAGAAAACACAAGACAAGGCCGGCTCACGGGTTTCATTTGTGGAGCAGAGAGCAACTTTGCACTCTCAATTTCTTGCCAACTTTTGGAACATCGTCGATTGTAACTACTAGTCCGTTGGCGCTTTGCTGGGCGAGCGAAATCCGATTGGGTCGAAGTGTGCGATGATTGAGAAGTTTTCGAAAAGCTTCCAGAATCGATTTCATCATCCACTAGGGTCACCAACGGCTGCTCTACCACCAACGACTGGGTATGGTTATATGTCTGCCGTTGGATACAAATATGTTAGACTGATAGGGCCCCAATATGGAACACATGCTGTGGATGTGAAGAAGTTACCAGAATAGTTCCGCCCAGACTCATTTTCAGGAACAATATCCGTGGTCTGAAGCCAAAAAAAAAAATAAAAATAAAAATAAAAAAAAATAAAAATAAAAATAAAAAATAGAGTCGGATACAATTCCAAAGTAGATAGTTATTTCTACCACATAATAAACTGCCAGGTTGGGAGGACTGATGTGTTTATCATAAGTTGGCAGCTTCTTTCAACATGTTTCCTGGGAACAAAGCTTGCGGACTAATGGCTGGTTAACTCAACAATGTACGAAAGTAACGAGATACAGATATGAAGAATTGCAACTATTTCCTAAAGCCCATACCATCCGGTTGGCTGTGTGGGAGACGGTTGGAACGCAATGGCCAGCCCGGCAGCACACGTAGATAAATTAATTTATAGACCGGCAAAAAAAACTCACGTGCTGGCAGCAATTTGGCCGTTCGATTACTGCAAATTGCATGACGGGTGCGAAGGAGCTCAGAGGAATGGTGTGAAAATGAGATATGAGTACAGAGCACAGCGGTAATCGCTTAACCCCAGTTTATATAACAGCAAATTCCTCTCGCAAAAATAAGGTAGTTAACTGTGTATACACACATCAGGCACAGTAACCTAATTGGCATAAGGAAACAATTAGTTAGGGCTCCTGACCCTCTATGACTCTGCGCTAGCCTCTTTGGGAAGCCGGATCATGTGCCTGCTGCGCTACTCCCGATACTGAAACAGTGACCAAGTTCCCAGCTCCGCGGCCTTGAAGAACAGAACTGTGTATGCACTAAGGAGGATACACATAACAACAATACAAAACAAACAACCTCCCCTTTACACCTCCTTGTGGCGCTCCTGCACTTGTTATCTGCGCTGCTTTTGACTTCTGAGTTTCTACTAGCAAGATTGTTTAGATTAGCCGCATATCCTTTCGAGGATGCAGCTGCGGACACTCCTCCAAGCCGGTCTGCTGCTATCCGTACTCCCCTCTACCTGGGCAGGTTCTGGCTGGGGATTCGACAATGCTACAGTCGTAATTACACAAAAGAGTCAAGGGATTGGAGGGGGGTTGAAAAAGAGGTGTGTTGAGCGTGCATGCGCGTACGGTACCGTGGCCTGTGGGATGCTGATTGTACGCACTGGGAGGAGCTACTAGATTATCAGAGAATAAACCGCTGTCGCAACCGCTTTTGTTTGGAGATTCAGATATCCTCAAGCTTAGCTTGACGACTCAGGAAGACCATTCTGCCAAAAGACCACACCAGGCGTTCTTATTACTAGAAGAACTCGATACAGGACTCGACCTATCTTACCCTTTAAATGCGAGAGAAAGCGGAAAGGCAAGACTGGAGTTGGTTAGTTGGGACATGCACCCAGAACACCTAAGTGTCGAAAGTCGCATTATTAACCCACCCCCTCTCTCATTCTATCCAGGCACAAACGGACCTCCCTACGCAGTTCTTCCAGTCCTCGAAACCCATCGAAGCTAGATTTGTGATCGCCTCGTTCGGCTCAGCGAAGGGATATGACGGCTCTGTCTTCCGGTTGGATATTACCCGCGATGCCGCTGTCAACGGGCAGCCGCTCCCCTCCAACCCCCTCAGATATGGCAAGCTCAAGGAAATCCACCATATCTTCAAGGCTGATCCCAAGAGCCCTCCTCTCATCGTAACTCTGGTGTTTGTGATCGCTGTATTGGCTGCGTTACCTATGCTTGCAGGTTTGGTACGTATAACAGCTCGGATCAAATGGAGTCCTCTTCAAGGAGACCGTGGCTAACAGTGCCAGTAGTGGGTTTACCTGGGCGTAAACTTGAATCACCTCCAGATTGCACTCGAATCGTCACCTGTCCCACATATGTTGTTTCTCGGTTCGATTGTTGGGCTGGAGGGTATATTCTTCCTATATTATACCTCATGGAATCTTTTCCAAACCCTCCCCGCCGCACTGGCGGTAGGTGCAGTTGCCATCGTTAGTGGCAGTCGCGCATTGAGCGAAGTCCAAGAGAGACGTCTGGCAGGATTGCGCTAAGGTCATATTTATTGACTTTGGCTTTGTGCTCTGGTTATGCGACCCGGAAGAGTTGCCCAAGCATGTAAAATTATATATAAAAAAAGTGCTTGAGAATTGAGGATGGGATCTTTTTCAAATGGTTTCTTCATACATATACATAACCCGGCGAATTGATTGAGGGATTAGAATCCATGTATGAGATGAGATACCTGTAAAAGAAACCAAAATTTTTGTTTTTCAACCCTTGTCTTGCTGGACTCCGCAAAAGTGCCAACTGCACCACACAGCCAATAGGGTCTAACGTAAAAGCTTAGAACCGGATTAATAAATACACTCGCTACCCGGCTAAACACCACCATCCAAAATCCACTGTTCTAAATCAAACATAACGTATACACAGTCGTACACCCAAAGAAACTAGCGTTCCAATGTAGTTGATATGTTGCCCAAAATCCCTCAAATTGCCAACTCAGAGCTTGCCTGCCAAGCAGCACTGCTGAGCCCCTCAAACCCCTGACACCCCCACGGAGGGCATTTTGAATACATGAAATACCAGCATTCCAGTGGATTCAGAATGTGCCCAACCCCTCAATTCATCACTAATAAATTAATCTGAAATAATCTACAAAATCATCCCCCCCCCAATTCACCCGTGCCAGGCCTTGGATCTGCGTATGGCTGCTCTGCAGAACCAGGATATTCTCCAATGAATCAACTTCTGTGTCCTGCTCTCCTCCCAAAATATCAAAAATCACACTGTTTATCGCCTGAGAAGTGATCTCATAGGGGGGTTTTCAGAGAGTTTGATTTCTCTGCCCTGAGGAGTGCAGGGAGGAGGTTAGAGTAGCAACTCATTTTCTTCAAGGGCTGCAGGCGCTGAAGAAGGGGGTTTAGACACTGCTTGCTGTCAACCACCCGCCCGGCATCTGTCATGTATAGTCTGCATGCTGCTCAGCAGCGACAGGGGTGACTGTGAGATGTTATTCACCCATAGCAAGCTCCTGTCCTTTCATCTCGGCGTGCGTAGGCGCCCTGTGTATAGTTCCCCCCCCCTCCCCCCCCTGCCGTGGACGTGCCCCCCCCAGATCTCATCCCCTGATCAGTGCGGTTGGGCACATATCAACGACATTGGAACGGCTAGTTATTTTGGGTGTAACGACTGTGTATACGCTATGTTTGATTTGGAATAGTGTATTGTGGATGGGGGTGTATTTAGCCGGGGTAGGCGTCTAACTTTCCGTCTCCACATCCAAAGCTAAGAAGAAATAACCTTGGAACAACTAACCCGCATACTTTAGCAAAAAAGCTTTCTTTGGTTATTCATTCACCTGCAACATACGGAGTGTACACTTGACCATTGACCTAGCACCTCCATTATATAGACTCACAATGGGCGCATCTTCGTCGAAGCCAATTAAGGCGGCTGCAGGTGCTGCTTCCCGCCGCCAATACCCCAAGAAACCCTCTCCGTCAACCACAAACACTAGCAGCATCACACCCTCAGATCAAGCGGCGAAGGTATCCAGTCAACAACGACAGGCAGGATCTACACTTGATTCAGGGGAGAAAGAGAGCTCTGCAAAAACAGAAGGTATGTTAATATGTATGCATATGTATTGCATATTTGTTTGGCGTTTTGCTTGCGGAAACAGAAAAAATATTTCCTGCTCGAGCGCGTGTCTCCCTCGATCACTCCCGCCAAGCCATCACTCCGCACCCTCTGTATAAAGCTATGGGAGCAATCGAGTTCTAATTCTAACCGAAACCAACAATGCCTAAACAAAAAAAAAAAAAAAACCTTAATAGTTATTGACCTCGATGCCCGGGACCCTCACTTCGCAGCCTCCCTCCGCTCCATAGGCCCCGTCACACCCCACCCCACCCTCTCAAACTCCAGCACCTTCAACAAACAGCAAACCCCACCTTTCCTCCAGTCCCCTAAATCCCCCATCCCTTCATCGACAGTATCCTCCACCACAAATCCCGCCCTACTCGTCCTTTCCGCTCGCGCCCAGCTGGAAAAAGCTGCTGAGAGCGAACTCGAGGCCATGGGCAGACATGGCCACCCGGGCCGGGAGTTCTTGGATATTGTAAGCATCAAGCAGATTTTGGCTATGAGGGATAGGGAGGGGATGTCGGAGGAGATGATTGAAAGGCAGTTTAGGTTAAAAAAGGGGGTGGTGGGGAGGTTGGGGGTGAAGGGGGTTGTTGGGGTTATAAGATGAGAGGGGACGGGATGATGATTTTGGTGCCATTCCGCTTTTATGCTGGGTGAATGTTTAGATATATGTTATGATTCCAAATTTGCGTCTATTTAGTGGCAGAGCATTATGCATGCATGTATGTATGTACATGCAGTTTACTGTACATATGTTCTGTTCAAGATATAATTTGGATTCACTTTTGCTATGTTCTCAGGGTGATTCAGCAGGTCATGAGAAGTGAACATTTTATCCTGTTAGAAACAACTACTTTAATAGCTAGCTCCATTGCGATAAGAGGAAATCTTCATCAATTCATTGTAATTAAATTTAATCCAGAGAACAAATACGTACAACAAAGCTATTGTTATCGGCAATCAAGGGAAGAATACATATCCTTCTGAGTCTGTATCCATCTCCCAGGGCATGAAGATGTGAAGTATTGGGAGTAACCAAGGTCTTAAACGGAGTTACCAAACATCACAAGATACAACTTCACTGACAAAAGGGGTACTAGATATCGAATAATGGCGAAAGAAAAACAAGGGGGAAATAATCATCGAGTTAAAATCAAAATGACACGAACATACGAAGCTAAGTTAGCCGAAAGTACAATATAAAAAAAAAAAATAATGCCATAAACTCAAATATAACAAAAACTTGTTTATCGACAGAATGACCGTGGTACGTTCTGTATAGCGGATTCCACTTCCATGGCTGCTTCAGCAGACTTGTCCATCAATCTCGAAGGACGCCTTGCACACCCCACTCAAATGTAAAACATAGTATCTGCCAGATCCTGGTGAACCATAACATCGCTACCG